AGAGTTATCTGAATAAGATGCCAAGTTGTAAAATCCCAGGTGTGTATGTGTGTGACTCATTGCCTTTGCATATGGGAAGGTTTTTTATGTCCTACGTTTCTCAGTTTGGCTGGGTACAATCTTTTGCATTTACCTAGTTTTTCTTAGATACAAAATGTGCTTAAGGAAATACAAAATTTACATGTTCAAATTCTGTAATATGTCACTTTCATAGGAACAGATCATGCCCTTAGAAAAATCAGTATAGAACAAACTGTACTTCCCTTATTTTCTCAATATTTCCTGGAAATATTTTCAATCTTTGTCTTAGAGTGAAAATAGTTATGAGACTTTGCATGCCGTATTACAGAACAATTTTGTTGACTATAAATTTTTTGGTTCTTTCAGGAAATTTTGCAAAAGCTTTAAAATGGGAGAGATAACTGGTGTTCTTTCAATGGAATACTTATTGATAGTTAGATAATGAACATTATCTAGAAGACCTTTTGGGGTTTTGGGGGTTACCAGATCCTATAGGGCTTCTGATTTCTATCATATTTGGCAAATTTTTCAACTTTTTAGTGATAGAAGCTAATTTATAGTGGGGTGATGGTGATGCAAATGGTTCCTGTTCACAGAGGTGTAAATGAATTTCATATGATAGATATGTATTTAATCCCTACCCCTCCCCAAAACTCTGTGGAAGAGATTATTTCAAATGTTACTTTGTTTTATTATCCTGTGTGTGTCGACCAGTTTTACATCTATTATTAAATTCATTTCAGTGTTCATCATTGCCTAAATAGATGTCTGCTCTTGGGATTTTCTTTCATGCCTATTTTAACAGCTTAATGGTTTCCTCATTAATTAACAAGTTAAATGAAATCATTAACACATGTTCATTTCATTTTGCATCACAACCATAATTTTACCTTTCTTCAATTATTCTTTAATGGCTCAAAATTCCATTGTATCTTTGCAACAAAAGTTCTGTTGAGATATCTGACATCAACATCATTTTTTAAATCCTTGCTCATTGTGCAAGAAGACGTCTAAGATGGCCTCCAATGATCCCTACCAAATAGTACTCACACTCCCATGTAATAATTTTCTTTAAAGTGTATGCTGGCCCAGCGACTTTCTTCTAACCAATAGAATTAATTGAAAGTGATGGGATTTCACTTTTGTGTTTAAGTTATGTAAGATTGTGACCACCATCTTGCTACTAGACTCTCTTCTTTGTTGGCTTTGTTAGAGCAAGCTACCAAATTTGGAGGCCCTAAGGACTATGAAACTTTTTAGTACATAAAGACTCCATCCAAATCTGCACAGAGACAACCAAACTCTAACATTACTTTTGACAGCATAAGGCTGTATCCCTAGGATGACCCTAGCCCCCATTAAAATGCCTGTCTGGGAAAGTTCAATACTGCCAGAAGAATTTTCTATTTGTTATAACCAACACCTAATGATTGGCCCCTCACCTTCCTTTCTTACAGCATTTACTAAAAAGGGCTTACAATTACAAACGCCCTCCATCCCTTTGAGATGTGTATGTATTTCGTACAACTTGGATGTGTCTTCTTAAGAACATGAAAGTCATTTATTTGAAATGTAATCATCAGAAAGGATAAGGCTCCTGTCTTCCCATCTTTGTGGAAGGCTAGAATCCTAACTTTGATAATTGCCAGTTAGCAGACACAGCTGGCTTAATTGCCTTCATACTGACAAACCCGTTGTAGTTTTTCACTTCTCTTACTCTACTTAAGCCCCCACTCACTTCTCCCTTATTCTCGTTATTCATCTGATCACTTCTGCACAAATTGGAAAGGAACTCAGCACTTTCTCCTACTGTTAGTAGTTACTGGATAAAATCTGTTTTCACTACTTTAAATGTCCAGCAGTGTTAATCTTTGATAGCCCACATAAGGGACCAAGAGCAACCTCTGAAAAAATCATTAGTAAGGAATTGAGGCTTTCTGTGCAACAACTACAAGGAACTGACTTCTGTCAACAACTAAAAGAGCTTGAATTTGGGTCCTTGCCAATTACAACCTTCAGATGAGATTGCAGCCCTGGCCAATACCTTAGTTGCAGCCTTGTAAAAGACCATTAAACAGATGACTCAACAAAGCCATGCCCGGATATTTGGCCCACAAAAACTGAGATAATAAATGTGTGGGGTTTTTTTTTATTTGTTAAATTTGTGGTAATTTGTTATATAGCATTATATAACTAGTATGTTCTTCCTTTCTGGAAGATTTAAATTTTTTCTCTTTCTTTTTGATATTCATAATATTCACTATTTTAGGCAATTTTTTCCTCTCTGTCCTATTCATTTCTTTTTTTTTATTTTTTCTTTTTTTTTTAATCCCCCACTCCCCTATTCATTTCTTCATGGCTCTTCTCATTTAATATTTTTCTACTTTCTTTAATCCTGGAAAAATAATTTTTGTTTTTAAAGCAATGTTATTTTTGTTCTTCTGCAACTCTTTTTATCCAGTATTAGCACCTCTGTCTTACACAAATATTAACTTTTTCATATTTGCTTTTATCCTTTTTTAAAGCTAACTATACTAGTTTCTTAACTAATCCTTGTTTTTATACTCTTTTTCCTTTCCAACTACCTTCCAACATCTTCCTTAATTTTCATTCTGATTTCCTTTTCAATCCAATGGTAATTTAGTAATAGATTTACTTTCTAAGTATGTCTTAAAATTATTCTTTTTTATCTAGATTGCTAATTAATCAATATATGGCTGGAAAACATAGTCTGTATAGTATTGGTCCTTGGCGATATTATGACTGCTTTTGTAGCCTAAAACATCGTCTCTGTATGCTCAGATGAGTGGAGAGTTATTCACATGTCTAATAGCTTGATCTGGTTTATTGGATTTATAAATTTTATATTTATGTTTATTTTGGGTTTCCTTCAGCTGTTAATTTCTTAGAGATGTTATATGTATAAAATCATCATCTATATTTGTTGGCTTATTAATCTACACATTTCTGTTGGTTGCTTAAATTTGTCACTGTATCTTTTAGCTAATAAGATATATATTTTAATATGCTCTAATTTTTTAGCCTTACTTTTCATCCATGCCATGTTATTCTCTGTGTATCAGTTTCTTCTTTGGTATATAGTAATTTTTATTAGTTGTTATGAGTAAATATTTGTAAAGCACTTACAGTAGTACTTGGCACATAGTAGTATACAAGTCTTTGGTTAGTATAATGGATTCATGCTTATTGGTTAGTTAGTATACTATCAACACAAAGGTGGTAATTGAAGCCAAGGTATGATTCAAATCATTTGAGGAGATAGGAAAGTTTGAGAAATAAGAGGATCAATGATCAATATTTAAGGAATTCTTTTAATGCCTAAGAAGAATAAACCTTAAAGATAAACCTTGAGAACTACACACAGAAGTCAGAGGAAACCCAAGAATGTATATTGTCAACAGCATCAAGAGTGAAGGAATAATAGTACTGCTAAGGATTTGAATGAATGTGATATAAATAGCATTAATTTTAAGAGCTGAGAGGTTTAATAAGTACAGTGGTTGTTATGATACATCTCATGTACCTCTCTGGAAGTATAAAAGTCTTATTCTGCCAGTTGCTGGGAATGCTTCTGCAGACATGCCTCAGCTATTGTCCTTCTTTGAGTAATTGCCTTGGATAAAGAGATCCTCCTTGCCTAAGGTTGTATAGCCTTCCTTGGTGAAGCGTCAGTACTCACTGGTGAAACTTTGAAAGTTCCTGTCAGTTTTGGAGCTCTATGTGGAATAGGTTAAGGCTTTTGTTGGGACTGGGCATAACAACCTAACTTCTCTTGCCCAGTTTTGCTTTTGTTCTTTCCCATCCATATTGATCCCTAAACTTCCTACATTCAAAACTCCACACACACAGTCTGCTTTTGGAAGAAGCTAATTTGTGACAATGGTGATAAATCTGAGAAGTCAGCCTGCAAAAGGTAAGCAATGAATTCTGAGAAAATGGAAGAAACCTAGAATGGCAACTTGCTCAAGTAATTTCGTGTCACAGATAGGAGGATGACTGGAACCCAGATAGTATTAAGGGCTCACCAACTAATCCCATTTTTAGTATGGGAGATATGTGACTGAAAGATAAATGCCAGTTACACAAATAGAATTCTATATTGCTGAAATTAACCTTTAACAAAGAGTGAACAGTAGTTAGAAAGTATTACTGTTAATGTTAATTTACTTCCTGTTAATGTATCAGGGCATTGTTTTTAAAAATTGGAATACAGTTGTTATACAATGTTTCAGAAGTACAACATAGTGATTTGAAAATTATGTACACTATTAAATGCTCACCATTATCAGTGTAGTTAACCCCTGCTACCATGCCAAGATACTACAATACTATTGGTTATATTCTCTATGCTGTGTTTACATTACTATGACTAATTTATTTGATAGGATATTAAGTTCTTTAATCAGTATTAGCTTATTAGGGAAGTAGTGAAATGAAAACATTAATAAAAATAAATAAACCTTTAAGTTGTCTACCTTATGTCAAGTCTCCTTGTCAAGTATGAGCCAGTACATTTTTACTGCCTATACCTCATAAACTGGATTTTCTAAATTGCTCCTCCCACAGCTTCCTTCTAGCCCTAGCTGAACTAGAATGCCTACCCTGTAAGCCAGACTTAACCCGTTTCTCGCATAAGTGATTTAACTTATCAGGTTAAATCAAGTAAGAATCAACAGACTTCTGAAAAGTTGTCTGGAGATCCAAATAAAAATTTTTTTTAAAGTTAAGTATGTATGAGGAATGAAATTTTTAGAGAATAAACGATTTAAGTATATGGCAATAAATAATGATTTTGACGGAGGCATAAACGTGAGGTGGAGGGAGACGTTATGTTTAATTTAGAGATAAAGTTTCAAGGAAGAGGAAAAAAACGAGAAACCCTCAGAAAGTAGCAATAATATTGGGCAGGCTACAGAAGGCGTCTAAAATTTTCTCACACCACTAGTGCAAGACGACTCCAAAAGGGCCCTCCAACGTCTTTTAAAAGAACCGGCTGGAGATGCAAACTAACACTACCGGTAAACACAAAGTCAGAAAATTTACGAATGACCCCGGAAACATTTTATTTTGCGTAGGTATCTGGAAAACTTTCTTTTGCGATTCGTTACTTGATCCGGAAGAAGAGAGAGCAAACATCATTTGCGATTGGATCATATCATAAAGGCGGCACTTCAGCGACCCAGTCATTTTGGCAACCGGATGTGACGATCCCGGAAGCGGCTGGCTAAACTTTCCTCTCGCTTGCGGCTTCGGTGGGCGGGGTCGCCGAGCCCCTGTGGCACGATCTTCACCACTGCCCCGGCGCTTCTGGGGCGGTGTCATTAGGGCCACGCCTCTCGCGCTGACTCTAGGAGGCTCTGGAGCGGTGTCACAGGCTCGGTGGGGCGGGGAATTCGGGCGGATTCGCTGAACCTAGGACCTGGTCGGCGTCGTCAGCCGCTTCAATTCTTCCGGTTTTCGGTGGCGGCGGCACCTCCCTCGGAAGCCTGGGAATACGCCCTGTTTAGAGACCGCCGTCGCCCTCTTTTCATCATCGAGTCTGAGTTGCTGCGGGGCAACTCCAGCCCAATCTACAATCGCTCTGGTTCTCAGGCCTTGGAGACCTCGGCCCCACACTGCTCACTTTCCTGGATGTGTGCCCCTCCCACCCCCCCTAAAATGTCCAATAACCTGCAGAGGGTCTTCCTGAAACCTGCAGACGGAAAGTCAGGCAACGCCTCGCGTTGGTAAGTACCGGTTTCGAATCTCCCTCGACACACCTGCCCCTCCACATCTCTTAACAGGATTTCCAGTTGGCCGTCGTTCCCTGATGTTCTGCAATGAGGTTGACCCCGCAGGGTGAGCCACTTTAGGGACATGCTCGTCACTTTGGCACTTACAGCCCTTAGAGCACATCCCTCTTGGAAACGTAAAACCTCTTCAGAGCCCGACGCGATCAGCCGCTGCCCGGGCTCCCGCAGGACTCCAGCGTCTCAAATATCATAGGCGGACAGAGTAGATCTCCACGGGAGAGGAAAATCAACATGGCCGACGCTCTTAATGTGACCAAAACCTCGAAGATTCTCGCGCACTCGCAGAAAAACACGCAGCAGTCAGCGCGGATTAGAAGTGCAGCGCAGGTGGCGCTGGACTTTCAGTGAAAAGAGCTGTCGTTTAAAAGTGACAGGGAAAGGATGTATGTTTGTGTAATTGATGGGTATATGAATTTAGAAATTGAAAAATTGTTCTAGAATAAGGGGATCAAATTTTTTTAAATTCCAAATAATAGGTTTAATAAAGAGAAACAAAAGTTAAATAAATTTCTATGTAAAACAAGTCCTTTGGAACAGTATTTGAAGGTGTAATAAGAATACCATCGCCACCATGTTTCTGTAGAGATACTGTATTTGACATGGCGAGATTTCAATATTGCTTAAATAACTTTAGAAAGAAGTTTATCATTCTGCTTTTTAAAAAAAATACCTTAAAATAGAATGAAATGGGAACAAAATTGTTAGTTAAGGCAGAATATCTTAAATTGTACGCTCCATGGTTGATAGATGTGTAACTTGATAAAAATAGCTAATGGGTCTCTGCAAAAGGAAAATGTGAAGAAGAAAGCATGGAAATTAAAATGTAAAATTCATGGAAGAGGATTTATTTTAGTAGAAAATCAGGCTCCCAAGCTCTAATTTTAGCTTTGCCAGTTACAGCATGTGAGGCCAACTGCCTCGTTTTCCAGTTTGTAAGTAAGAGCACCTCCAGATATTTTAAGGATTAAAATAATGAACGTACATAAAATACTTAGTGTAGGAAAAATAGCAAAGCACTATTAAATTGTTAGCTATTGTTATTGTTAACAAGAATGGAACATCTGTATACATTTTAGTCCAGGAAGTACGTTTTCTTTAATTACAAGTAGATACAAAATCTGGTAGATACAAAATCTGATTGTAATAAAGACTTTTGAGAAGCATGTACAATATTCAAAAAGAAATGGTCACTAATCGTGGTGAGCTAAAACAGAACTGGAGAACTGCCAAGAAAACCATTGTATTTCAACTCACAAAGAGCCGGATTTTGTGTATGTATGTGGTTTGTTGGTTTATTTTTGGTGGAAGTTGGAGGAAGAGGCAGGCATAGTGCCCCATATGCGTAAAAGTAGAATTTTAATAATTGTTCATTTCCCATACCTTGTTTTAGTACCTGGATATTTGATGACACTGATTTACTCTGAATTAAGACAGTTTGTTTTAGGATTACATTCTTTTTCAATATCAGAAATTGGATAGAGTAAGAACTTTACATTTTTATTTACTGTGTATTTTAACTCTTTTATCCAGTTTCTAACTAAGCCTTTTGGCTTTTTTACATTACAAATTTAATTTTGGGGTTATATTCATAAGTCGTTTGGAGTTCCTTAACTCATTGGTTTATGCATTGTTTTCATCTTCAAATGCACATATTCTTCAAATCACTGAGGTTTTACATCGCATTATTTGGGACACTTATCCGACACCTTTCTGAAGCCATTTGGCACTTATTTTGGTTATTGGTTGCATATTTGATTGTGTTCTGTTTTGTAAGTAACAATCTGCATGATATCCAAATAGAATTTTGTAAATCATTTGATTATGTAGCTCCTCAGTTTGCTGGAAACTAGTTTTCTTACTATTCTGGTAATAGTTTGATCGAACTAAATCACTCAGAAGCTTAAAATGACTATATGATTTTCTTTTCTATAGATAACTTGAATTTTTCTTGAGTTACTGCTACTTTCCTTTTGTAAAATTTTTAGTAATGTGATACAGAATGTTTATTGTTTTAAAGTATCTCTAACTCATCAGGGCATAAAATGTGGAACCCAAATTTAATCTTACAGTACAAAGGGAAAATCTTGAAGATGTTTGTGATAGCAGGCATTGTTTATTTAGATTTAGGCTTTATTAGTAGAGAGCAAAGCGGAGTCAGAATGGATTAGTAGGAAGAAGGTACACTTTTGAGTTAGAGATCTGGGTTTATGTCCTGGTTTACCACTTACTAGTATAGTTCAAACATTTGGTTAAAAAACATTCACTGAGGGCCTACTATGTGATAGACTGTGCTAAATGGAGAGGCTGACTAATGAACAGGATAAGGACTGTGCCCATGAAAAATCTTACAGTCTATGGGAGGTGATGATGTAATACATTTTTTAATGACGTTATGCACAGGATGCTGTGAAGGCATAGAAAAAGGGAATTGTAGGGAAGATTCCTCAAGCAGCTGACTTGGAGAATGTAAGTACTGGTTATCCAACTAAAGGTGAATGCAGATTATAAACAGGCAGTGAGTATTGGTAAATAAAGCACTAGTAATGGCTTATTACTAGCAGTTGGTATTTATTGTTCCATTCTATTCTACAATCAGGATAAAGAGGTAACTTTTAAGGGTTTAGTTTGCCCTGCTAAACAGATTTAGACTTCATTTGTTGGAGTTTGTTCAGAGGATTTTACGAAAAGGATTGTCATGTTCATGCGTGCATTTTAGATAACTGATGGCAGTGTGGATTTGGGGGTGAGGTATCAGGCATATTTAAGATTCTGTTTTAAGTTGTCCTTTCATAAATTCTGAGGGCCTGAACAAGCTGATGTAGACTACTGAATTCAAAGAAATACAGAAGGGAAAATGGGCAGATGTCAGTGAGTTAAAATGAAGAACAGGGGATCAATTATGATGCCAGCTTTCAGGATAGATGGTTGTAAATTAATTGAGATTAAGAACACACCAAGAAAGTAATCAGATATTTGAATCTGAAAACTCAGGCAGGGTCAGAGCTGAAAACAAACTTGTGAGTTATCAGCTTAGGAATATTATAATAACAGCTTGTGATAATACATCCTGCAGTAATAGGAATTAGGATGTCATGTGATTGGCAATTGGCATATATCTGCCCCTTAACCCTTTCTTCTTAAATGGGGAACTAAAATGACTGTCCTCAGAAACGAGCTTGGTTTGGTTAGAATGATAGTTTGTCAGTTCAGCGAGCACTTAGCTTTGTACAGTGTTATTATCTTTACATTCGCAACTTGTATGCATGTGTGAGACACACATACTGTACAGGCTAACGGCTATATATTTCTCAACCTCTCATTTTATACAATTGAATATTTTGAACCCTGTTATGCTAAATAGAAGAAATGGATGCAATTGCCCATGAGAGCACTTCATTCTGAATAAATTATTTAATATTACTAACCTTCCATTTTCTCAGCTATAAAATAGGAATGACAGTACTCACATTGGTTGGGCTGTTTATAACAACATATGTATATATAATATTATAGGGCATATATTGTATATACTATTACATCATGTACTTATGTATACTGTGTATGTACATAATGTTAAATCATAGTAAGATAAAGGTCTAGCAGTTGAAAAAATATATATAAAATGTTCATTAGCCTACAAAATTTTTATCATTTAATTTCTAATATACAAATGCTTCATATCAATATTAGAAATTTTAAAATGTCAGAAGTTATATAAGTATGTTTAACATACCTTTTATTAAAATTCTCATACATTTTTATTGAAGTTCTCACATTTTCAAGACTATCTGATTATTCTTGGATACCAGTTGTATATTTTAATGGAATTTGGTAACTAGCATATATTGGAAGTTTATCAGAATCCCAGCCAGCTATTTCATGTACTTCTTGTTCCCATTTTAAAAATGAAGAAACAGAGATTCAAAGATACTAGGTAAATTTACCAAAGTCAAATCAGCTAATAATTGGAAGAGCTAGGATTAGAAGCCCATAATCTTCCTAATGTATTTCTCTTTTCTCTTAGAAAGTCTTAAGCTGTTATTATTTTTCCAGTGTAACTTCTCAGTTGAAACACTAGCTGTTTTAAGATAATTGGCATGTTATGATTATTCCTCTGTGGACAAACCAGAGTAGTTAATCTTCTAAATGGAAGGTCTCTTCTAGATTTAAAAAAAAAAAGTATGTTGATTAAAGTTGTGAATTTCACCCTGATTTGTCACTTCTTTACTTAGCATTTTGCATTTCAGTTTAATTTTTAGAACTCATTCCGTTTGTTTCTAGGAAACTGGATTTTTTAAAAAGTAGACCTTGTAGTATTTTGTTCTAGCTGATATTGTTGTTTACAGTGTGCCAGTTGCTCTATCAGGTGTAGAGGATACAGATATGAATAGGATAACCTATCCTTAAGGAATTTATGGTCTCTGGTAGAATATGTGAATCTCTGCTGATAGGCTGACATAGAAGAAACTATTTTCTTTTCCTTTTTGGAGGGATAGTGGAGGAGAAGAGAGGAAAAATCAATAATTAGATTTGAAAATAATTTGTGCAATATTCATAAATGGTTTTTGCAAAGGAGAATTATAGAGGTCATATAATGAAGTATGTGAATGAATATCAGAAGCATGAGTGATTTGTTTAAATACCATGACAATTTGAATGTGCTTGCCTGCACACACGTAATTATAAAAGCATGGGTTCTGCTCTGTTGAAGCTACTAATCTGTAAGCCAGGTGTTATTGAGAAATGAAATGCATAAATAAACCATAAAAGGTATTGAGACAGTTCACTTGAAATGGTGGTTCAGAAGAGCTGCATTATTTTTTATATAAATTTTTTGAGACATTAATGTGTTTTGTACTGCAAGAGCAACTACAAAGTAACTGATAGTTTTTGATTGTAAGGAGTTTCAATCTAAGGAAAACAGTGCTTTATTCATTTTCAAAATTAGCTAATAGATCAAAGGCACTATAGAAGGCATTATATAACCCCTCATATTACTGACATCAATAGTAGTGCTTTGGGGATTCCAAGTTGGAAGAAATTAATGTGAATTTGAATGACTAGTAGATATTTTACAGAGAAGATGGAGTTGATCCTAAATTTATAACTATATTTCAAATTGTTGGAGAAAAAACTTGAAGAATTATTTAGAGTAAATCATGTACATGGGATCATCCAGAATAGCAAAGAGACTTATGGTAAAACAAGAGATTTTATGTTGAGAAGTTATAGATGGTACTGTTGTAGAGATTGATTGAGGCTAGATTTTGGATGATTTTCATGCCAAACTTAATTGACAGTGCTGAATTGCTGAAACTTTGAGCAAGGAGATAACAGGATCAAAACAATGATTTGATTTGCCTGAGATACATAATAATAGTCACTGTAGTTAGAAAAACTAGATTAAAAATCAGCAGAAGATGGGGATTTGGTAATGAAGATGACACAAGGTAATGTGTGTCTGATCTAGGTAGTGAAAGTAACAGTGGTGAAGAAAGAGATGATGATAAGGAGCTGTAAAAAAAGAAAAAACTTTATTAACTTGGTGATTCATCCAGTGTACATTTATTGGATGTTTACCCATTATAAACATATGTACAAATGTGGGTGAATGAGAAGGGTGATAAAGATAAGGCAGAAGTGACTATATGATTTAAAACCTGGGTGACTTGGAAAATAGTAGTATTCACACATGATTGGATGATGGTAAGAGAGTACTAGTTTTCAGTAAGGAATAATAACTTGAAAGTGATGGTATTAAAAGTGAAAATGTTTGGTAAGACATCACAAATATGGAACTGAGGTCAATATATTGGGCAATAGGAATAAAAGGAAGTAATTATGAGAATCTATTACAAAGAAGATAGTGAAACAATGAAAATTGGTGTAGTCTTTAAGGAAGAATGTGTTGAAAGAACTCTACTTTGGGGATATATAGTTGGATGCTTAAAATGCTGAAAATAAGCATTAGGAAAGGCAAAAGAAACAAATTGTGATTTGGAAATAATGATAGGATGAGATTCAAGATGAAGAGATAGTTGGTAGTGTCAATTTCAGCAGTGAGCACCTAGGGAATGAGGATAAAGACAAATTTAACTGTGAGGACATAATTGGTAATCTTTGAGAATGAGGTGTAGTAAAATAATGGGAAAGAAAATAGACTGTAAAAGAGAGTGGAGGCAAACTTTTTCTGTAAAGGGCCTGATAATAAATATTTTAGACTTTTTGGACAAAATGATCTCTGTGAAAACTAATCAACTCCATTGTTGTTACATGAAAGTAGCCATATACAATATGTAAAAGTGAGTACAACTGTATACTTATAAAACTTTATGGATACTCAAATTTGAATCTCACCACATTTCACAAAATAGCATTACTGTAAGTTTTAAAAATTCGTTTAAAATATTAAAAGCATTCTTAGCTTGTGGACTGACAGCACAATAACAGGGAAAGAGCCAGATTTGCCCTGCAGGCTGTAGTTTACTGACCCTTACCCCATAACTGAGCCTGGTGCCTGAACCATAACAGACACACAGTAAATTTTTGTTGAATAAATTCTGACCTAGTTTATATGTGCTTTTTGGCAGGTGAGGAGGTGATGAAGGTAGGTTTTCCTCTTCAAGCCCTGAAAGCAAGAGTTTATACTTTTCTTTATATTCATGATTCTCTTTAGAGATTAACTTTTAATTTAGTAAAAGTGAATATAACATTTTGAAGCACTATCAAGTAGCCAGAAAACTTTTAAATATTTGTAAGGACATAGTCATATTCTTTGAGGTTGCAGAAAGGTAAAGCTGAGTTCCAGTTCTGCCTAGAATGCATAGAAGTTTTGGCTTTGACTTTTATTAATACCTCACATTTTAAAAACATACAGGCAGTAAAACATACCTTTACACTGCTGCGAATTCTAATTATTATTTACTCTTAAATTCTTTTTGTCATTTGATCTTAGTCATTAAGCCATACTGGGACTGTAGGACATGGTCTGTGTACTTACGTTGCTGGAATTTAGCATGAGAGACAGTCTTTAGAATTGAACAACAGATTAATAAACAATTTATGAAATGTACCATGAAAGAAATTAACAGGGATGATAATATATACTAATTATAAAGGAGGGGTAAGGGTAGTCAAGGTGATCAGAGAATGTATCTCATAGTAAGTATCACTTATGCTCAGACTTGAGTTTTGTGGAGTACCTAGGTAGACAGCATGTGTCCCTTTTCCAGGAACACCTTGAGTCCCTTTTCCAGGAACTGAAAAGTGGTTTTAAGTTTAAATAATTTGAGGTGTTTGCGTTCAAGAAAGCTACAGATAATTGATTCTATAAAGAGATTTGTATATATTGGATTTTTAAAAAATCAGACAATCTGTGCTTAAGAAGTAGCTCCTAAGTATCAGGATCAAAATTGGCCAGGTTAAAAAAAAAGATGGTTGACTTCCATTGTGTTCTGTGTTCATTGAAGACCATTCAGCTGAAGTGGCGATTATATATATGGATTAACAGGCATTTGAACTAGTATGAATAATTGCCATACCAAGGGTTATTTAGCACCAAGCTTCAAATGTGCTAAATCAATAAATCAAGGAGGAAAATGGTTTCTACATGAGTAACTCAGTTTTTAGTCTTCAAAAATGTGACACACTAAGGTATCACCATAAGAGATACCTTAAGTAAAAGAAAAATGGCTGATGTAGGATGTGTGAGTCATTGTCAGTAGGAAAAACAGAACAGACTGAGTAGGGAGTAGAAGAGTGAGGGAAATAGAATAAACATAACTAGAGGTGAAATGAAAATTCTGATCAGTAAGAGTAAAGAAAGAAGATGAAAGAATTCGAGGAAAAGGAGAATGCTAATAGTTTTAAGAGGAACATATTCTGGTATGCATAATTTTACACAGGGTAAAACTTTAGAAAAGTGTACTTTTAATTTGAGGAATAAATGTTAATATACCCATTTGCCTAATCGTATGAGAATATCTAAATCAAAGTTGACCATATTGTTGATTATCTCTTGTTCTTATTCAAAATCTTTGTTTTGTAATACTTCACTTTGAACAAAGTGCAAATCATATATTTTTATTACATTTTACATTTTTAAATAATATTTGCAAAACTTGTTTTAAAATAAAATATATACCATGTAGTATGTTGTATTTAATTACTCAATGTTCTTTTAAGTGTTTCAGGCTGCATGTACCAAGTAGTTCAGACGATTGGCTCGGATGGAAAAAATCTTCTGCAATTACTTCCAATTCCTAATTCCTCTGGAAATCTTGTACCACTAGTTCAATCTTCAGTCATGTCTGATGCTTTGAAAGGGAAGACAGGAAGCCCAGTTCAAGTTACTTTTCAGACTCAGATTTCCAGCTCTTCCACAAGTGCATCAGTTCAATTGCCCATTTTTCAGCCAGCCAGTTCTTCAAACTATTTTCTTACAAGAACAGTAGATACTTCAGAAAAAGTTAGAGTTACTTCTGTGGGAACTGAAAATTTTACCTCACCAGTTTCTAAAGTTCAGAGTCATGGTGTGAAAATTGATGGACTCACCATGCAAACATTTGCTGTTTCTCCCTCCTCAACACAAAATGACTCACCTTTTATTTTAGTAAATACCCAGAGTCTTCCAGTGACTGTGAAGTCTCCAGTTTTGCCTTCTGGGCATCATTTACAGATTCCAGCCCATGCTGAAGTGAAATCTGTACCAGCGTCATCATTGCCTCCTTCAGTTCAGCAAAAGATACATGCAACTGCAACCACAAGTACCTCAGGAACAGTTGAGGCCTCCCAAACACCAACCATTATTTACGTATCTCCTGTAAATACAGTGAAAAATGTAGTTACCAAGAACTTTCAAAACATTTACCCAAAACCTGTTACAGAAATAGCAAAGCCAGTGATACTAAATACCACACAAATTCCAATGAATGTTGCTAAAGAGACACAATTAAAAGGTGGTAAGCATTCTCAAGCTGCTCCAGTGAAATGGATTTTTCAAGAAAATCTACAACCTTGTACTCCATCTCTTGTTCCTGTTAAGTCTTCAAATAATGTGGCTTCAAAGATTTTAAAAACTTTTGTAGATAGGCAGAGTTCGGGGGATAATACTGTAAACATGCCACCACTGAGTACCATCAGTTCTAGTGGGACACAGTCCAAAAGTATGCCTATTAAAGATAATGCTTTGGTTATGTTTAATGGGAAAGTCTATCTGTTGGCTAAAAAGGGGACAGATGTTTTGCCATCACAAACTGACCAACAGAATTCTTTTTCTCCTGATATTCCACCAAGAAAAGATACATCACAGATAGTGAGTTCAAGTCCAGTCACAGAACTATCCAGAAAGGTTGTAAATATTGTTTTGGCTAAAAGTAAATCTTCCCAGATGGACACAAAATCACTTTCAAATATCCAGCTTGCTTCCATGGCCAATCTAAGGGCAGAGAAGAATAAAAGAGTGAAGGAAAAATCTCTTTCTGCCCCAAACCCACATAATATGAACCAATCCATTAACTACTTAAAACAGAGTAAGAATTTATTCACAAAGCCAGACTTTCCAGATGGATTTAGTACAGGACAGAATGCCCCCAGAAAAGAAAATATCATCCAGAGCATAGAGAAAATAAGTTCCTCTGTTGATGCAACAACTGTTACTTCACAACAGTGCGTTTTCAGAGACCAAGAACCAAAGGTAATTTTCCCATGTCAGGGTGTTCTTTTTATCTATATAGAAAAATTTTCTTTCTTAATTTTCAGAGTTAGTTAATTATGATTCTTCTTTCTCCCCTCCTCTCCCATCCTTCACTCCATCACACACATACCATACACACATGAATGCTTAGTTAAGTCAAAGATTATATCTGAAAGAAATGTTTGAGGAGGAGTATAATTGAGAGAGTTTAAGCAGTATCTTACTCTTGAATCATTTGTGCCAAATCTTTAAAACAAACAAACAAACAAAAAGAAAAACAAGGTTTAGAAGAGTTGAAGAAGGATAATGTGAATTCCAAGCCTAGTAAGATTGTGTGTTTATGTGACACATACACATACATCTGTCTGTACACATAGACATACATATATACATGCATATATTAGTAACTTTTACTATATGAAAAGGTCAATGTTCTGCACAAAAAAGAGCTGGGGTTTTTTGTTTGTAATGGTAGGAAGGTATCTGGCAATATTTTTAGATAAATGGTGGAAAAGATAAGACAGGGCTAATCAGTACCTTTCAGTCATTTATAGAAATGGGATTTATCAACATCTTTGGGGATTTTTTTTTAGTTGATGTTTTCTTTTCCTTTTTATAGTCTTTATTTCTGACTCCTCATCCTATTACCCAACATATCCACAATTACCTTTCTGTTCTATTTAAGATAAGTGTGTCTGTGCTCTTAAATATTTTTACCCACCCTTTTCTTACTTAGAGGTCTACTTAATAATGTCAGTTCCTTCCCTTGAGTACAGAATTCATTGAACTTGAGAGATGTAAAGAGGTAAATTCTAATTAACTATACAATTGATTAGAGTATAAGACTTTTCCAGAAGACTATAATTTCCAAATAATGCCATATAGATTATTTTAATTTGTCATTAGTTTGTATTCTTATTTCACTTGTTTGAGAATTGACTAGTTGTTACATTTGCAGTGCAAAAAGTAAAATAAATGAGAAATTATTGGGGAACATTTTAAGTTTTGTACTCAGTTCAGTTTGTTAAAGAGTAGGTGGTAAGACAAGAGTAATGCAAATTAACCATTTATTTAAAGCATGATGTCTTAAGATGAGGTAATCAATTCATTGCTAATTTGGTGAAATAGCTTAAGTAATTGGCAGTATTGTTTGTGTGTTTTCTTTTTCTAATTCTAGATCCAGAATGAGATGGCATCAACATTAGGAAAAATTACTCCAGAAAGAAATGAAAGGAAAAATTATCAAGAAAGAAGCAATAAGTCATATTTGAAGAGTGATGCTGAATTTAAAAAGATATTTGGTCTCACTAAAGATTTGAGAGTGTGCCTTACTCGTATTCCTGTCCATTTGGGCTCTGGGAAAAGTTTTGAGTCCTTTAGCAGTTTGGTGAAGAGTGATACTTACAAAGAAACAAAGTTTACAGTGAAGGAGGGAGAGAGAAAACAGGTAATAGATTTTAAAGTGACCTTTGTAGATACTCTGGAGGTACATGGATATACTTACTTTGAAATGAAATGAAAAATATATTTCATTTTTTTAGTCTCATATATTAATTTTACATACATATGTTATACCAAAATAGTGTTAAAAAAAGTTAAATGTGCACAGGTAAAAAATGCATCCCCAGTTAATTAAAGATGATGTTTTGTTTTCAGTCACCTATTTTTTTTCAATCATAAAATGGCCATAGCTTTTTAACTAGTTATCCTACTTTGAAGGTCATAGTGAAAATAAATCCAGGTACAGGAAAAATATAATCATGCAGTGTTCATTGCAGTATTATTAATGAAAACATTAGGAAGTGTACATGGTCAATAATGATGAAAAGAAATAGCCCTATAACTTTGTCTATCATTCTGTATAAATGTATCATTGTTTAATACCCTGAGCTTCAGATCAGAGACCTGAGCTTCAGATCAGAGACCAAACAATGAAAATCTTCCATATATGCCTACTGTGTAAAGGGAAAACACATTTTAATCAATTCTATTTCTCAACCTCTTAGTTGCTGTTGTATGTTGGTGGTACCAATACTTAAGCAGAAATATGTTAACTAAGCACTTCATTCTCAGTGAATGTCATTAGGACATTGCTGTTTATTTTGATACTATACAATGCTAAAGATCAATTTCCTCAGTTGAGTTGAGTTGAGTTGAATTTAAGTGTTGAATATTTGTACCTGTGAACTTTTTTAAATTTGAGAGTATACTATATATATGGCAAATGATATTTTGTTTTTCTTTTGGAATCTTACTCAACATTGCAACAGGGTTTTGATAAGAAAAGAAAAGCAAAAACCGTTAAGAAGATGGATCACACAAAGAAGAGAAAAACTGAGAGTGCTTTTAACACAGCTCTAAATGGAGGAACTAATTCCACCAGTTCCCAACTCATTAGCAGCATTTTACCAGATTCCAATGTATCACACTATAACATTCTCACAAGCTGCGACAAAATGAGAGAAGAAGAGAGAAGTGAGGCAGAACACTGTACCTGTGAGAACCAGGAGGAAGGTACATTGAATTCAAACAGAGCTTTTGAACAAAGATATTGCTTTAATAAAAATTATACTGAGGATTTTTTCCCCATGACTCCACCAGAGTTAGAAGAAACCATTCGAGATGAAAAAATACGAAGACTTAAGCAGGTGCTGAGAGAGAAAGAAGCAGCTCTTGAAGAAATGCGGAAGAAGATGCACCAGAAATAATAAAATGTTGGTATACTTAAAGATGTCAATGAAAAAGCTGTTCTTTTTTTCCACATGCTATTGCATTGAGTTATATATACATTCTGAAAATATCTTTGAATATGGAACTTGTTTTTTCATCAGTTGATTATAACATTAAGGGAATATAGAGAAGGTTGATTCACATCTGACCCCATGAATAATCTGTGTGGGGTATCTGAATCTTTGGGTACCTTTTTTGGAAGGAAATTTTCTTTTTTTCTATTATTTGAATTAGAAGTACCTGAGTTTGAGTATTTGTGCAGAGTTTTTGTTATTTGTATCTTTAGCTGAATTGCTCAGGTGTTCCAATAGATAATTACTGTATAATGTTGAAGTTATACAATCTGAGGGAGGAAATGAGCTCTAAACTTAGATTTACCAGTGGGTTTGTATATGTATTCACTCTTTTTACCCATAAAATGCTGATACCTTCTACTCACATTGTATATTTTTTAATTTCGTGGATGAAAATGTAGCAGCATTATTTTAAAATTCAAACATTTCTCAAGAGTAAGGGACACTTGTTTTGTAATTTATACAAAGTAGTGTCATATAATCCAAGACAGGTTTTAGAGTTGAGATTATTTAGTGTTTGCTTAAGGTGATATGCTATTATTCCTAGGCAAATGCTGTTTTTTTAATATGTACATGTCATTTGATTGTGTGAAAAAGTAAATCAGAACAATGACCACATTTAGTACATCTTAAAATTGTAAAGTGTAGTTTTTCTTAATAGAAGCAAATATTTGGTTATCTTTGGAGAACTCGGGAGTAGTGTGGGGATTAGGATTAAGGAGAAGAAGAGAAGTTTATTTTAAAAAATGATTAAGAAGTTCTTGGAAGTAAGGCTAGATCTGTACTTTGGCACCAAAATAGAAAATAGTAAATCAGAAAATGGAGTTGAACAAATGCAAACATCATCAAATAGTTTCTCCAGCTTTTTTTTTTTTTTTTCACTAACTGCTTATATTGAGAATTCACATACCAAAATTCACCCTTTTAAAGTGTACAGTTTGGTGATATTATCTCCACAGAGTTGTGCAACCATCAACATGATCTAATTGTAGAACATTTCTCGCACCCGCCCCCAAAAAACCTCATACCCATTAGTAGTCACCCTCCAGGCCCACCTCCCCCCAGCCCTAGCAACAACTAATATACTCTCTGTCTCTGGATTTGCATATTGTGGGCATTAATATGCATGGAATGAGTAATTCAGTATATTTTATGACTGGTTATTTTGAAGGTTCATCCATGCTGTACATGTATTAATACTTAATTCTTTTTTACATTGCTAAATGATATTTCATTGTATGGATATACCACACTTTGTTTATCCCTTCATCTGTAAATGACATTTGGGTGGTTTATACTTTTTGTTACTAGGAAGTTATGTTGTTATGAATGTTTGAGTACAAGTTTTTGTGTGGACTTGTGTTTTTGCTTTTCTCAGGTATATATCTAAGAGTAATTACTAGGTCATACTCTGACTTTGTTTAACATTTTGAGGAACTGCCAAGCTATTCTAGTCATGTTTTGCTCCTCCTACTACAGGATCTTGTCAAATGGATCCAAAATGAATCTTGTCAAAGACCCCCAGTGACTTCCATGTTGCTAGATTCAGTGGTCAGTTGTCAGTCTTATTTATCAGTAAGAACATAATTCCATGTATCATTGCCTCCTTTGAAAATATTTCAAACATTAAACAGTATATGTGCATTGTAGAAAAAAATACAGCAAGCTAAAATATTGAAAATTGAAACTTCATATTCCCATCAAGCTAAAATACTAAATGTTGGGGGTAGGGGATACATAATTAAAGCCTATCAGTAAATAGACTATATTTGAAGTCATAGGTTTGGATCATATCGCTTTGGGAGATAGTATAAACAGAAGAAGAAAATTGGGCTCATGTCTGAGTACATTTTAAGATTGGAAAAGATAATCAAACGAATTTTCAGGCTAGCAGGAAGAGAATATTGAATTGTTTTTAAATCCTTACCTGACACAATAAACAATGTATCAATGTTTGTTAAAGTTAATTCATTTAAAATCACCCTGATATATTACATCCATTTCCATTTCATTTCATTTTCTTACTACTGTTTCAGCCTATCTCCTATTGATTTTCCTGCTGCTTATATTATTAAGGCTTTGCTGCTCATGAAATCAAGTACCCATATTTCTTCCATGGTAGTGAAATGTAGCTTGAATCTTTTACAGCAAGGTTCCCCAAATTTGTGCTGATGGTCTCAAATTCCTACCCTCATTCTGAAATTGACTCAACTTCATTTTTTTTCTTTACTACCCCACTAAAGCTTTTTTTCCCCAAGGTATCCAATAATCATATTCCTAAATCCAATGGTCAGTTTTTAGCCATCTTATTTGACCTTTCAGCAGCATTTGACACTTTTTGTCAGTCTGTCATTGAAATTTGTTCCTCACTTTGCTTCTAAGACACAATATTCTCCTTGTTTTCCAACTATCTTATTGGCTACTGCTTCTCAGTATCTGGCTGATTCCTCATCCATGATCTCTTACAGTTGAGCTACAGCTCAGTCCTTGTATGTCTTATTTCGTATCTGTACTCATGTGATGATCTCATCTAGATCTCATGGATCAAAATACCATCTATATCCAGCATCTCCCGTCTGAAATTCAACACTGTATATCCAGCCACATTCCTGCTATTTCCACTTTGAAGTCTTAATGGACACCTCAAAGTTGACACATGCCAAACCCAACTTCTGATTATTATCCACACCAAAATTTGTTTCAGTTAAGATCTCTGTTTTAAATAATGACAAGTCCAGGCTTCTGCCTTTTCAAGTGGACACAGTTGGAATCCACCATGATTTCTCTTTTTCCTCATACCCTACAATGACTGCTAGGAAATTTTTTGCATTTACATGAAAATTATACCTGGAATCTGGCCATTGCACACCACCTGTACTGTGACTACCATGCATTATCTCTGATCTGGATTACTAAGATAACCAACTAACGTAAAGGAATTACCTTCTACCAATTTCCTCCTATAACTTGTACTTAGAACAAAAGCCAAGTGATTTTGTTAAGGAGGGAAGGACGAAAAACCCAAAATGGAAAAAACACAAGCAGAGAATTCACCATAAAAGACTGAGAAATGATCTTCAAACATACAAAAATGCTTGAATCCACTCAAAATTGGCTAAGTGAAAATTAAAATCGTTCAGGTACCATTTCTCATTGGTCAGACCAGAAAAGATTTAAGAATATGGCAACACGTTCTGTAGGCAAGGCTTTAAGGAAATAGGCATGTTCATACATTGCTGATGGGAATGCAAAGAGGTACAATTCTGGAAGCAAATTCAGCAATGTCTAATAATTACATATATATGTACCTTCCAACCAATGGAACTAGCAATTCTATTGCTAAGAATCAAGAGTCTGCAGATGATTCCAATGATATGAAGACATATGCAAAGTTTATTAATTACAGTATTGTTTTTACTGTAATTGCAAAATACTGGAAACAACCTAAACACCCATTACTAGAGTGGTTGAAAAAACCATAGTATGTACATTCAGTGAAATATTAAGTAGTTGTAAGAAAAGAATGAGGAAGAGCATTATGAACTGGTATGGACCAATTTCCAAGACATACTGTAAAATTTAAAAAGCAAAGGAAAAAAATAAAGCCTGCTACCCCACATATAAGAAAGAAACAATATAAGAAAATAGACATCTGTTCATTTGTACAAAAGAAATAAAGTAGAAAGGATAAACCAAAAACTAAAGAGACTACATAAGCAAAAAGGCTAATAAAAGGGGACTGTTAAATGGGTTAGTAGAAATGAAGTAGAGTAACATTTTCCTGATTATATCTTTTGTATAACTCTCTTAGAATCATAGTAAAGTCTCACATACCTTTTCACATGTCCCCAAATAAGCAAATGATTAAAACCAACCAGGAAATGCTTGGGGTGGCGGCGTACCCAGAGTAGAATGCAAATCCTAACAAACGAAATTATTCTACAAAAGAATAACATGACCACATTTAATGGGATGGGAAAGCAAATAACTAACCTATGTAACGGTATCTTCACTGGGCACTGAAAATTTAAAGACTTAAGTTCTGTTATCAAGGTAGCAAAAGTTTCTCACAACAGTATGAGTTAGCAATCCTGAAACTACCTTTGCCTGTACACTAGAATTGAACAAATAAGTACATATAGTTAATGAGAACCAGGTTTCTCACTGTTGGAGAACCACATTATAAGGAAAGGAGAAAGTCTAAAATAAACTCTGTGGCATTGGATTAGAATAAGAGGCATCAGTATAAATAGTTTTTAATATATATTCAGGTAGAGAAATACACATATGGGTGTGTGTGTGGCGGGGGTGGGGGGTTAGTATACATTCATGTATTTCCTAATTGTTCACTAAGAGGACCTAAAAGCACTGACACTCCTGAACAATGAGCACACCTAGCACCAGATCTTTTTCTAAATACGATTCTTCAACATAAGGAACCAGAGTTTCTTGGAGAATTTGGTTCCAGGGTGGGATAGGGCAAGAAAAATAGAAGATGAACCTAGAACATCTTGTGATGTCAGAAGGTAAGGAAGTGTGCCTAAAAAAAGATGGGATCTTATCAAAAACAGGAGCCAATCTGAAGGTGCTCTTAATAGCCAAAATTGGTATAATTTGAACAATGATAACGATGGTACTTGACTTTAACCCCTAGAATAAAATATATACAGTGAATCTATACCAATATAAAAATCAAATACATAAATGGGAGAGAAGTAACAGCCCTTCCTTACAGTTTAATTCCGATTACTAAATGTAGATGGAAAAGGGAAATACAGAATCATTGCAAATGCTCCAATAATAACAGTTGAAGATAAGATTCACATGGATGCTAAAACTAGTGTGCAAAAGTTTGAGGAGAAACAGGATTTGCAGTGTCTCCCAAAGATATTTATAAACTATAAAGGAAAAGGTGGTAACTTTATGGAGGAGAAACCTAGCAGAGACTAAGCTACCCAAATGATTACGGTGAGTATCACCAATAAGACATGTCAGTATTATGAATCCCTTGATCTGATGCATAGACGTGTGTGTCCATGGTAATCTTTCCCAAAATACAAAACCTTGCTGTTATGAACTGAATGTTTGTTTCCCCCCTAAAATTCATAGATTGAAGCCCTCACCCCCAATGTGGTTATATTTGAAGATGGGGCCTCTAAGGAAGTAATTAACATTAATGAGGCCTTAAGGATGGGGCCCTGATCCAACAGTATTAGTATCCTTATAAGGTGTGATATCAGAGTGCAACCACCCCACACACCTACTTGCCAATCCCAGCATGAATGTACTAAGCCAGCATGCTCACCTTGAGCAAAGCAATGTGAGGACATAGTGAGAATGCTGCCATCTGCAAGAAAGGAAAAGAACTCTCACCAGAAACAAAATTGACTGGAATCTTGATCTTGGACTTCTGGCCTCCAGAATCACGAGAAATAAATTTATGTTGTTTTTGTCAGCCAGTTTATGGTACTTTGCTATGGCAGCCTTATTAATATTAGCAGACTAATACATTTTCCAAGCATGAGAAAATATCATATAAAACCAATTTGAGGATCATTCTACAAAATTACTGATTAGTATTCTTCCAAAGTGTCAGGGTTGTGAAAGATAACCCCAACCCCTCCCCCATGATTACCACCAGTCACTTCTCAGTGTCTATGAATCTACTGCTGTTTTGTTCAGTTTGTGTTGTTTTGTTTTTAATTCCAATCACTAAATGTAGATGGAAAAGAGAAATACAGAATCCTCATTGAAAATGCCCCAATAATAACTGTTGTAGAGAAGATTCACCAATGTATGCTCAAATTGGTGGGCAAAAGTCTGAGGACAAACAACTTGCAATGTCTTCCCAAAGATATCTATAAACTATAAAGGGAATTAGAGTAACTTTATAGTGGGGAAATATAAGTAAAACTTTATGGTATTTGTCTTTCTTCACCTGACTTATTTCACTTAGAATATTACTCTCTCTAAGTCCATCCATGTTGTCACAAATGGCAGGATTTCTTTCTTTTTATGGCTGCATAACATTCCGTTGTAAATATGTACAACTTCTTTATCCATTCACCTACTGACAGACACTTCATTCCTTCCATATATTGGCTATTGTAAGTACTGTGACAATAAGGTGCATATATGTTTTCAGATCAGATATTTTGTTTTCTTCTGGTAAACTCCTAGAAGTAAAATTTCTGGGTCATATAGTATTTCTATGTTTGTTTTTTTGAGGAATCTATGCTGCTTTCCATAGTGGCTGCACAAATTTACATTCCCAACAGCAGTATAGGAGGGTTCCCTTTCTCCACATCCTCAACACTTGTTATTTCTTGTCTTTTGGATAATGGCCATTCTGACTGATGTGAGGTAATATCTCATTGTGGTTTTGATTTGCATTTCCCTAATGAATAGCAATTAGAGCATCTTTTCCTGTGCTTTTTGGCCATCTGTATGTCTTCTTTACAAAAAATGACTATTTACACCCTCTGCCCATTTTTTAATTGCTTTATTTCTTTTTCTGCTGTTGAGTCATATGAGTTATTTGTATATTTTGGATGTTAACCTCTTATTGGATATATTTTGGATGTTAACCTCTTATTGGATATATTGTTTATGAATATACTCTCCCATACTATAGGTTGCCTTTTTGTTTTGTTGATGGTTTCTTTTGCTCTATAGAAGATTTTTAGTTTGATGTAGTCCCAGTTATTTTGCTTTTGTTTCCTATGTTCTGATATTATTTTTACCATACCCATTGTTATCATCAATATTACACATACTTATTTAATTCTGTTGTTATAAACTGATATATAATGGAGTTTAAGATGAACCTAAGTATAAGTTAGGGGAGAGGTTTTTTACTATTTTGTTCACTGATGTACTGCTAATGAACATAAATGAAAGATGAATACTGAGATGTAGGCTGCTTCAACTCTAATACCCCATTTTAGTTTCAAGA